ACCAAGGTCTGATATTTTCTCGTACATAACAAGCAAGCGACGTCAACAACTCGTTTATTATATGGCTTTTGTATCGTAGCCATTGTAGAATTCACTTAGGTAGAATCTTAATGTTCTGCCAACTGGTTGCCTCTCTGTCTGAAATCACTGCTACTCTCAAATGTCTCACTGACGATATAAGTGAAACGACACAAAATTCATCATATTTTAGTGATTGTCTGCTAATTAGACAGGGATTTTTAGATTCAATTTTAAATGATCCCGGCTTCTATCCCCACCGTCCGTGTAGATTTGTTAACGTTTTGGAAGTGGATGACCCTCAATATAAATACAATTTTTCCGTCCATTTTCCAGTAAACGAGGATTTTTTTTGAAATTTTCAGCTGTTTTTATTAAGTAAGATTAGTATTTGAACGAGTTCAAACTGATCCAAAATTTAAAATTATTTTCCACTAGTTTTTTAAATCTTTTTTCAGTAAACGAGCTCAAGGAGTCATTTAATTGAGCCAACTCAACGGTTTGAATCTCTTCGGCTTTTTTCTAAATCATCTGTCAGTTACTTAGGTATACCGCCTCAAATGGGCGAGTCATATTCCATTAACTCTTTCCCGTCTGCGCCTTGAAATTACAGTTGAAAGAATTTCGAAACGAGGAAACAAAAGACACAAAACATGACTCTGCTTTGAAATGAATGCCAAAATCTGAGTTTGAAGGACGGCAGAGTACACTGATTTTCATCTCAATTTGTAGCGTCAAAATATGTTCTCCTAGCAAAAAGTCCACTTGGTTTGCAAACCCCTTTGATAGAACGTCCTCATTTCGATGTTTTTATTTTGTCAAATGCACTGATTTTTAAACAGCCCTCTTTTGAAGACCAGGTACAACAAACTTCTATGCACGATAGAAATGCATCATGGGAAGACCGAAAATTTGGACATAAATCGTGCAGCATTCTTCTTTTAAGAATTTTTTGAGAAGTGTGAGCTCCCCCGCACCTACAGGCAAAATATCGGGCCAATTGCATTCTTTGGTTGTCAAATATTGCCAAAATTACRTTGGTAGGTTGGAAAATCTGCCACAGATGGACCAGGAAAGCGATCTTACAATGATGTCTCCAGTTCAAAACAAACCGTGACTTGGAGCCATTGTCTTCGAAAAATCGCTTTCCACCTCTGATTTCTTCCAGAAGATTGTCTCTGCCGACTAGTCAAGCTTAATGATGCAAGCCTAGGGGCTCCTGTGGCAGCAAAAAGCTCAAAAAAATTTATAAACGGGTTTTTAGGTAAATTTAGGCTCAACTTACTTACTAAATTTACAAAGCCCTGCATAAATTAATGCTCCCTAGGGAATTCAAATCCGAAAAAGTTTTATTGACAGCACCTTATATGGAAATCAATTAATTTATCAAGATGTTAGGGTCGAAAAAGCTCAAAAATCAACAAATCGAAATTAAATTTTTCTTTCAGAACACTAAAAAAATGATTTTGTTGGACTTTTTTTAATGCAAAGAAATTCGAAAATCTGATGAACTAAAGTTGCTGGAATTCCCCCGATCCAGCTTACAGAAAATACAGTTGAA